AGTGCGTCTATCCCCAGTCGCGGTATCGCGGCAGAGACGCAGAGTGTTTCTTAGCTAGTTGGCTAGGTAGATATAGAGAGAGCTAGTCGTCTTTAGAGACGCAGACGTAGAGAGAGTTGGAAGAGTAGACGCGCCGCAGCACTGCTGCGTTGAGTGGATTGGGTCCCGGTGCGAATGCAGCGTACGTCTTGCACTACCTACTTTAACGCACTCGTTACGATTGGGAACGCCCCGACGAGTAGCAGGCTCATGAGTGCGCGAACAGTCGCAAAAAGGGTCTCCTAACCGACACCCTGAGCCTTAAATCGCGCATGAAATAGTTCCTGATAGCAACTTACCGTATAAATTTCCATGAGCATCATACGCAAGACCTTTTGGGAAGAATAACTGGGCATCTGTGGCTGGTCCACCGTCACCACATGAATCGGCTGCTGCCGGACATGCTGTTCCGTCTCCAGCCAGTACCTGCAACGTGTTTTGGTTCTAGGAGGTAAATAGTTTCACCCGGGGCAGTCTAACCAAATAGATTACCTCATGGTTCGCTGTTGGATCCAATGGTGAATGGCTGACGATTCTCCAAATCTGCTTGTGAAGCGGCAGTGATACCACTAGGAATCCATCTACTGGACTGACGGCCAGATAGTAGGGATAGGATGTGTCGGGAAGGCTAAAAGTGCATCAATACTTCTGATACGGTAACTCAAGCACGTACAAGACAATCCGCGATAGCGAGCGGGAGGAGAAGTGTGAGGAACCTAAAGACCATGGCATGTTCCTCATTGGCCCAGTCCCTTTTGCATTACTGCAAAAAGAATGGGGCACCAATGGGCAAGAACAATGATCAAGAGACTCCGCCCTTCCACCGCCCTTATGATTGTCGCACACTATTTTCTTGAGTGTGCACAAAAATCATAAAAAATGAACTGTTTTGCAGACCTCAGCGATAGCACCGTGGTGATTTGTCCTTCTGGGCCAATACGTCTCACTAGATTGTGATCACCAATGAAGACACTTCCATCGAGGCCATGAGCAAGCGTCGTTGGACGAAACAGGCTCGCCTAAAACACGCACACCTTAGCAGTAGCACAAGTCCTTCATAGGCTGCTCGAGGCTGCGCTTCAGGTTCATAAAAGATCGCAGAAAAATAAGCTAGAAGTCTAGGACCTGTCAGAATGGGAACGACTTCTAGGACTAGACAATCCCTTCCCACCCCCGCCATTGAAGGCATCATTCCGCGATATAATCGGGGGTATGGGCGGAGATACACTACCGTTGAGGTGCTCCTCTCTCAAATACGGCAAAGAGGAGCCGCAAAGTGGAAGGTACAATAGCTGTGAGTCTCCGCCCATTTGACTACTGTGGAATAATCTCTCATTTGGGCAGGTGGTGCAAATAAGAGACTCTCGGTGCTGTAAACTGCAGATGTTTTGAAAATAGGAACTTATAGAGAATGCATAGAGTTTGAAAAATGAGTCTCGTTAAAAAAATTCAAAAATCGAGATTTCCAAGTCATGATGTAGGGTGGGAAACGGAAGAGATTCATTCACAAACAAAGTCCACGCTGACCGTGTGGGAGGAGTCAGGCCCACCAATTGCCCTTCTGATTCTTCAACGGTGCGCCTCTTACCTTCAGTACAGACAGGGTAAGGGCAGCACAATCGAAAAGAAGAGCACAATAATAGACCCGACTCCTGCCTATATGTCAGCATGGACTCTGTCATCGAGCCCTCAAGTTCCGGAAGCTCACCTCCGCAACGGGACCATTGCAACTTTGGCACTCAAGCTGGCGACGTTTAGCCGTACCGACCAATAACTCCATCATGTGCGCTGAATTCGCTATGAATCGTCGCCCTCCGTTGCCCATTTCGAGTACGCCTTAATGGAACTCATCAACAACAACACTGAATGAACTACTCAATTGGCTCTCATAGTGGGCGGAGCTTGCACCCACCATTGACAGCATCCAAATGGTGATGGATATCCACACTCCATGCTCCGCCTTCAAGGCGACGAGCACGTGCGCCTTCCATAAACACTCGACGGCTGATCCATGCCACCTCAGACGGTCGACGGCACCCTCGGTACTCATAGCCGATTCTTACTGAAAACAACATGAAGCACTTATCGATTGACTCACAAACTTTGATCAATCAATATTACGCGATAGAAAGACAGGTTACCATCAGCTGGTATCATTCCATGGTCACTTTGACGGTAGACGTTCAGCTTATCCCAGGACCACACATATGTCAGGTTTTCTCGTGGTGCAAGGCTGAAAATGAAGAAAAAAAATCAATGAAACCGATAGGTGCCTAGATGAGTAACTGAGAAATTAATAGCAATCGAATCGCAGATCGAATAAAAAGCGGATTGTTATATTTGCCTCGCTAGCAGAACTTCAGCGTACGGTTTGCCGCTCGCGATATATCGCGCAACGCAAGGGCTTCATCGCGCGACCGATCGGTCGAAGCATCGCATCGATCGCGACGAAGGCTGCCGGTCGCGAGTAATAAGAGAGGGGCTGAGTTGGTGCCGCGCCTAACCCGCCCTCTGACACGCCCCAGCATCCGCAGCAAACAAGACTGTAAGGTCGTAGCTCTCAGATAGCCCGAGAATTATCCCTCGGGTGGTTGCTGTTCGTCATTTCCAGGTGAACATTCTTGTTTCCTCTATTATACCATACACTTCATGACCCCAAAACCATCAAATACTACCTCTTCGTGAATGTTCTTCCTGCGATCTTCACTATGACATGCACGAGCCGAACGTCAGGATCAGGCTTGTTTGGCAGAAGGCCTAAGACCAGCGTGGACTGCGATGCCGTCGCCCTTGAAGAGTCGTAAACCAAGCGTACAGACGAGCCAGGGAGTGGCAGACTGAAATATTTTGCTGATTCTTTAGAATTACAATTTTATTTCTAACTCAGACGTTTTTATCAACGAATGTCTATAAGGCTCGCGGTCACACTTTGCGACTCGAGCGGTCGCTTCGGTCGCGCAGCTGCGGCCGCATGCGCTCCAAGCGCTAATCGTTGGGGCTGTCGTAACGGTGAAAAGAGGTCCTATCATGACAGTGGTTGACGCCGCAGCGGTCCAAGAGTTAGCAGTAAAGAGCGATCGTGCGATTCCTCTTGACGCAATGTATAAATGCGGTCAAATGGACACTTGCCACGGATGAAGACCGTCTGGACGATGAAATGAAAAAAAAATTCCTTTGGCTCAATGTCCAGCTTCTCAAGAATGGGCCTATGCTGTTAAGCTGTTTGGCCGCTCTAGCTTCACAGGAAGATTTTGCAAAAAGTGCTGATCCTAACATTCGGAGCCTTAATGGTGCACATAAGTCCAATGAAAGTTCGGGATTAGAGACATATTCCGCGTTGATTGAATGGGTGGAGAAGTGGTGCTTGTGTTTTCCTCGTTAGCGCGCTCATTCTGATCAAGTAAAAAGAGGGAAATGTCAATGAGAAAGGCACGATGGTTTGTGGTTCTCCGCCTACTCTACCATCGAGGAAAAAGTCTTCAAATGATTACCAACTAAATCAAGCCGCTCTAACTGGAGCTACCACTGCAGATGAGTCAGGATAATGTCAAATAACCTACCTCTGAACTATACTCCTTGTATCAACAAGCATCGTTGCAGCACTTGTCAACGAGGGTATACCATCAGTAGAAACGGTCCATTCTGGCCGAAGTACAGGTGTTGGTAGTACACGATTCGCTATGGAACATTCTGGGCGAGCACTGAGTTCACGTTGCTGAAAAACGTACAAATTAGAACCTACTTGGTCAAAAGGGAATTGGTCCCAAATGGCTCGTATAAGGTTGAAGCAGGAGCAGCGGGGTCAGATAGCCTAGAGTCGCAGAGAACCAGGATAATTTTCTGAGTACTGCTAAAGGACGATATTCCTCGTGCCCTTACGACTGATATTCGCTATCTTCTGGTGCCATCTAAGAGCCAGAGGTGCCTCTGATACTCTCAACCCCCCACCCCCGTTGATATCCGGGTTACACTGTAATCAACCCACTTATCCCCACCAGGAACGTCCAGCTGATCCCCGTTGACCTTAAAATTAAATTTGTCACTACCATCTCTAATCGTATCTACCGTCCCTAATCCGTCTTATCGGCCATGGATCATGGACGATTCCTGTTTCCGGTTGGACTACAGTCTTCTAACCCGTAATTTGCCACGATTCCTCAGCGCTAATTAGTCGCCGTGCCGGCTGACGGCGGCCCTTTGATGCCTTGCAAAGGGAGAGGCTCCAGTGGGCTAGGAACACAGCTCAAGGTCGATGTTCCCTTACGAAGCTCTACTAACCGTCGGACAAATTCTCAATTTCACATCGAGTTTCTAACCAGTTCCAGGTGACAATCAATACTTATTCTTTGCATGACAAGGCGCCACCACCTTAAAATGCGAAGCCATAAAAGGACAGCAAAATCACTCACTTCTTCTCGTGCCATTTTGATCGGATCGACAACGACAATTTCATTCGGAGGCACATAGACGCTTCGCTTAATGCGCTGAAAAATTACTGATTCAACAAGTACCGTAATCTGATATCAATCCCAGATAAGGGGTGTGGCCGCTTTTTGGGAAACGGTCGTCTGATCGCGGAACATAACAAGTACCAATACATTGCGACACAATGAAGACACATTCCACGATAATCAAATGGGCGGAGACCTCGTAGTTTGCTCAATGGCACGTTACCTTCGTTATTATGATTGAGGGACTATTGTCATGAGGTTCTGCTCATCTGGTTATCATGGAATACGACTTTAAAGACTGAAAAACCCATGCGACCGCTTAATCAATCAGCTCGCAGCCACGCCCACCTAACTAGTGAAAAAAATCTGACAAAGAATCTCAATTTTCAAGCCCAACTTGTGGGATACAGGATCCCTACTGAACGAAATTTTCCACGTACTTGAAAAGGACTCCTCAAGAACTGCAGGTTTACTGTACGACCACCGTTGACAAGAAGGTCGAATTCACCGTCGGATCTGGTCAAAGTGAAGCCGTAGAGTGGATTTGCAGCATCTGACACCTAAAACATAATAACTTTGAATAAGCCGCTGAAATCTTCATCCAAATAGTACAATTACCGTACCCTCACTCCAGGAAGTGCTACTGTACTTTTGCTATCACTGACCGCCCCTCCATTCCATACAACGCGACCACGGATCACCGATATCATGCTGAAAATAGCTTTTGTCAAGTGAGCACAAATTCTAAAACTCAAATTGAACTGATTTCTGAAAAAAGACCTAAAGACACATTAATCGCGTGTGCTTTCTCAGGCCTGCCATTGTACCTTCCTAGCAAGTGTGCTGCCCTATCTACAACGGTAAATAGGAGGGGCGCGTAAATAAGGAGGGCGCAGTATCAGGCCCGACTCCGCCCATACACATCGCGTAGACTGTGACTTTAAGATCTCCCGATAGTCCGGAAAATCGAGCTGAGCTGATAACAAAACAGCGCCCAACTGGTCTGCCTGAAAGCTGAGGAAAGCGAGATGATGGGCCTGACTCCGCCCATGTGCAAGCGAGAGTCACGCTTTCAAGCTATTTCAGTGAGAATGTAGGTAATTGAAGACCTTTCTTCAAGACCCAAACCCCTTCTAGGTATGACTGTAAACTCTATTATTCAGCTCATTTTCTCCAGCCATTACTCTTGCTTTATGCGTCCCAAAACCTCCCCGAACACTGCATTTCCACGCTCAATAAGGGTTTCTTGTCCCTTAGTCGCCCTATGAATGTTATTGTCGCCTTGCCGGCGTGCCACCTCATTTCCAGCAACTCGGCTATGCAAATTCGACATTCTCTAATCCGATCATCGCCACCGCACAACATCCAATAAAGACCTCGTCAATAAGGAGTGAAGAATCACGGCAACTCTGCTCTGTCTGGCAAAACGACTAAACAGTTGAAGGAATCTAAGGGCAAGAGACAAGGGCTATTGAATTCCCAAGACAAGAACCTAAAAAGGAAGCAAGTCGAAAAGAAAATGGTTTGCGGAGTACGTTCAGACCCGATCCAAATCGTTTCCAGAAGAATTTCCTAAACATTTTTCTATCAATTGCTCGGTTTCGATTGGCCTAATGAGAGCAGATACGCTTGAATTTGAATTCACCCATTTTCACTACATCTTTTATATTTATGCATCACTTATTTTGTTTACATCGGTGTTACTCAAGGGTCCTTCCTGTGTTATGCGCAAACATGCTCGTGAAGTTCAAACCCGCATTTACACTATCCGGAGAACATTACTTACCCCTCGCACTGAACCACCTGCGAAGAAATCTCAGAGAGATGAAAGCTTCACGAAACAGTTTCCCTCACCTCTCATTGAACTGCGAGTGATCCGAGTAACTCTGGACAGAATCGTTCCGAATGATGAACGAGACGCGCTAAAACATGAGATTCGAGTGTAAATAAACAAACTAGTAGCAAACAGAACATCGAAGTCAGAGTAAGTTGCAAAGAGCTCTAAAGTGTTCCATGTACTTTGCTCATTCCACTTTCATATTTTTGCTTCACCAAGAGTCGATGAACTCATCCTATAGCCCAGTGGCAATGTGATAAACCCTAGAAACTCACCTGAAAGAAGTTGGCATTCTGAACGGTCGGTAACCGCAGCAGTACATCAACAGGAGTGGGCACAGTAGCACACACGGGTTCTCGTGAACATTCTGATGACGAGCAGCACTCCGGATCATCACAATCGATTAGGCCATCTGAAAAGGTTTGATAATGGTCTTAAAGTTAGGAAAAAGTCCCAAAAAAGTAGATGGGCTAGATACACTTCCAATATACTGCAAACGATTGGGTGATTGCAGCACTTAAACCCTACTGTGTTGGACCAAATTTCTTGGACCATAACCTTTAGTCAGGTCGATATTTCACTAACAATGCTCACCATTGTCATTATCGAGCCCATCCTGGCAATCTGCCTCCACCGGTACAGCACAGTCGTCGCCGGTAAATGATGGTTGGCAATCACATCGCCATCCTTCGCCATTTTCTTCTGGTAGCGAACTCCAGCGACACTCACCATGACCGGAACATGACAGAGGGCATCCTTCTATAAAGAAATCTTTTGAAGTATAAGAAGCGATCGCAAGGAGTATAAGAAGAAGAGGTATAGCCGTTCCCGCTGCAAACGCTGGAGTGTATCACGGAGGCTGGGTTCGGTACTGCGTCAGCTCCTTCTGCACCAATTTCTTTAGTGGAAACAACTGGTGGCACACGCGGCTTTCGCCACGCCCAAACTCAACCCCTGACACGCTACAGCGTCTGTATCGAAAAAGACTATACCTCTACTACAGAGACACATCTCGTTTTGCAACAAAGAAAATACCTAACTACCTCTGGATACTAGTAAATTGCTTTTTTTGAATTTTTATTCTTTTAATTTATTTTATTTTTCAATTTCAGTCAGTCCCGAAGGTGACAGAAGAATGACCAACGGCAGAGCTTCCTTTCTATTCCTGCGACCAGTTACAGGGCGGCTGAACGATGATGGGTTCTAAAAAGCACCCATTCAACCACAGCCCAGGGAACCAGGGCGAAAACCTTGAAGCTAGTAAAAACTCCATTTTTTATGGGGACAAATGTGAGGGGCGAATGTGATTCATTTTAACGACTATTTCACTCAAAGTCGAGGCGAAAGAGGAAAAAAGGACAGCGACAGAGTAAAGGAGGGCACTGTTCGCTTCAGAGGGGGCATTTTCGCTACTTCCCTTATTGTTAGTTCATATTAAATAACACTTGTGAAGCTGCGAAATATTGCGGGTGACCTAATTCGCCTTGACGAGTTTACAGGTGTAACAGGGTGGCCTGCACAACCTATGCCAGGTACCATTCGGTGCCCCACCAAGCCCAACTGAGCCCAAAAGAGTGGCAGGGAAACAAACCTGAAATATGGACATTATTTCAGCATAAAAGCCGATCAATTCGTACTTCTCTTTCACTATTTTTGATTATACAAAAAACATGAAGTCTGAACGTGAAGTGAAGTGGTAAGCTTAGTTGTTATTTCTCTTGGAGACTGAAGGCAAAAAAAAGAACTCACCCATATGACAATTCTCCCCATTCCAGCCTTTATCACACGAGCATGTTCCATTTTTCAGGCATTTACCGTGCTCTTGACAACCTTAACTGGTAAATTAAACTGAAAGAGCGCAAGCAGGGACAAATAATCACGGGTTCTGGGAGGGCACCAACAACAGAACCTTTCCTCCAGTGTTGAATGATATTGAAGAAGAGTTAAATTTCATACCTATGGCACAATCAGCTTGATCACACAGGCTTCCAGACCATCCCGTTTCGCATTGACACAGACCGAACTTACACACACCGTGCTCACATGGTGGGCATACTTCTGGAAAGTATTGATTTATCGATTTTGTCATTGAAAGTGAGCAGTACCATTGAAAGCGCACGACGGATACCTCTTTCACAGTCCCTTCCTTCCCATCCACGATCACATCGGCATGCATCAGCCACAAATTTGCCATGATTGTTACAGTTTGGTGGCGGCAGAAATATCTGAAGTGTAATCGATCAAACTGTCACGTCAATTATCGATTGAGTCATCAACATTTATCTTAAAGGCACCTTAAAAACTATTTGCATTAGTGAAAACCATGGGACCTTACCTTACTAGGCTTTGGTAACTTCTGTCTATCCAATTCTCGACTGATTTGTCTGGGTTTTTCACTCGCAGATGGCAGTACTTCTACCATTGGCACTAAGGCAGCTACTACTGTAGCTGGTACGGTAGCAACTGTCGGATCCATGATTGGCTGAACGAATAGGTAATAAAGATTGACTGAGGGGGAGGGGATTTTGGTATTTACCTCAGCACATTCCACTCCTCGCCATCCATCTGCACAGTAGCACTGGCCATTCACGCAAACGCCATGATCAGAACAGGTTGGATTGGAGCACGCGCGCTGAAAGGAGATCTTCTATTCACTTCTCCTATATCGTAGTTCTCCTTGGCACTGTCCACGTTGATCAAAGAGGCGGAGTCAGTTTTACAGACAAAGTGCTTCCGAAAGATCGGTAAAGAAATCGCGCTCCTCTTTTTTCCGAATGCAGAGGTAAAGCAAGAAGGCACAGCGGTGGCCTGACTCCGCCCATTCGATTGATGCGAAGTGCCTTTTTAAGTAAATTTGTCGAAATCTCAAAGAAAACACCGCTAAACTTACCAATTCACAGCCTTCTCCAGTCCATCCCTTCTCGCAATGACATACGCCTTCGTCACCACATCGTCCATGGCCACTACAGTCAGGGATTTCGCACCAGTGAGCATGAACATCGCATTCCTACAGTACACATTACAGTAAACACTACAGTACACTACAGTATACATTTGAAGGAGTTGAATGACCTTGAATTCCCAATGAACTCACCTTCCCCTTGAATCCAGTTCGACAAACACATGCACCACCAGAGAACACTCCGTTGCCACTGCAGACTACCGGACAAACAGCTGGAAAGACCAATCATTAATATAAAAAAAGCTTTCGATCAGGGAACAGAACAAAAATTAAATTTTCAAGAAAGATAGCGAACAAAAAATGCAAAAGAAATCTACAGTGTGAAAATACTGCACATACACAGCTCAAAAGAACAGCCCGTGGAATGGGCGGAGACACCCAACAATTGCAGCTTCCTCTCAATCATAAAAAAAAGATGTGGATGCACCATTCAGGAAGGCGCAATGGATGAGTGTCTCCGCCCATACAACTAACATGAACAGTGCCTTGAAAAAAAGCAGCAATACAAAGATAACAAATAATTCCAGTTCTTAGAAAAAAAATATGACCAAACTGATACTTACGTTCTTCGCAAGCTTCTCCTGTGTATCCAGAAGCACACCTGCATCGTCCACCGGGAAGGCATTCACCATGACCGTTACAAGTCAGCTTCGCATCGAATCGCTAATGGATTCGAACCGTCGGCTGACGATGACGTCGGAGCAGCGATTGAATATGCCAACAGACTGATTGGTTCCACCTGTAAAATGAAATATAAGACAGGGGCTCATCATTGATCAGGGGGTCGCTTTTTAAGACCTTGAAGGCGTAGTCAACCCTGATCGTGGGTAGAGACAGTCAACCATCGCCTGTCTCACTGGCGCCTCTACTCTCTAACGTCTTAGAAAGCAGTGATACCCAATGAAGATCCAAATGGGTAACCTGTCTCCGCCCACACGGCAAAGGCAGACCGCTGACCGAGACAGTTATCAGCAAAGAACGTGCTACGACTCGAAGGACAGAAAATTTCAGGATAACACATCAGGATACCGCATCAGTCATCAGAAGTTCAACATGAGAAACTGGCCAGCGTTTCAACAGCTGACCAAGCCTGAAGTTCTTCTGGCTAATGTTCAGATGAAACGACTTTTATCAAAACTTGTTTGTTAACAATAGTTACTGATTCTTCCGCGGTTTTTCTGGCTCATTATTACTTATTTATTCAGTGTTACAAACTAACAACTCACTCGATTCCGCTCATTGATCACCGTCAAGTACCATCGTCCATCGATCAAAAAATGTTCGAATACAGCATAGCGTGGAGCCTAAATACAAAGTTAATAAATGCCGAAAAGATCAATAATCTGCATTGGCAAACGTAGTAAAAGGTAAAGGTAACCTAAAAAAATTTCCCCTTATCCGGTTCCATTCCCAAGAATCTTCCTTTTCACCCTATGAGTCTGCACACTTCAACTATGCTTATCCATATGTGACTAGAAGGGTTTTTGGAAGGCTCAGTCTACGCTTATTGTGTAGGCGGAGTCAGAACTACCACCACGCTTATCTCATTGGCGCTCCCTTCCCAGAGATGGGTCGCAGAGCCTTGGACTGCGCCTTTAAAATCGCCCCGCGCTCAACCGATTCGTTAGCCTTATTTCTTGTCCAGGCAGTCCGGCGTGTAATCGCAAAATCCCCCCCCCCTTGCCCTCACGTTTTCGCGTTTTCCACAATGATTGACGAGGGTGCTGCTGCCGTGTTAAGTCGCAGTTACATACAGTACACCATGAGATATAATATGTACAACTGCGACTTATAATGGTCGCAGCGCCGTCGCCACTCGTTGCGGAACTACGAAAATGGGACAACCTTTGCAATGACGCGCATACCTACTTGGGTGAGGGGGGATTTCCATGGAATGGTGAGCGCGAGGTCTGTCTCCGAAAGCATCCACGAAAAGTCCAAGTTCGGCTTTCTATGAACCTCTGCCGACTCTTCAGCATGGATTTGAGTGGTTTTTTGGGATTATGTTTTCGCCTGGCAATGGAATCAATCAAGCCCCACCCGCACCCTTGTGCACTGGCCCGAATGTTGAGCGTAATACCGAATTTCTTTCCCTCTC